ATGGACCCATCACACTCAGTTAAAGGAGGCCACAGAAGAGGATGGAACATTTTTAACCCCCAAGCCTCCCTTGTCCCCACTAACCAAGTGAGCAATATAACAAACCAATGTAAATAACCTTCACCTTTTCTTACTGGCTTTTTCAAGTGTCTTCGGTAGCCAAGGATGACCTTGAGCTCCTTATAGTTATGGTCCTACTGCCCAAGGGCTGAGATCGCAGGTGGCTCTTCAGCTCACTTTTTACACTCTTCCAGTTCCAGGGCTAGAGAGATGGCTGAGGGTTAAGAGTGCTTTCTATTCTCACAGGAGAATGAATTTTCTAGAACCCACATTGGGGAACTCTCCACCTGTAATTCTAGTTCCAGGGGGATTAGATGCTCTCTTCTGTTATCCACAGGCATCCACACACACACGCATATAAACGCAGTACACATATCCATAAGTAAAAATAAAATTCAATCTTATAATTTTCAAGTAGTTTCACTGAAACTGACTTTCACTGTCATATTCATAACACAGAGTTGTTCATGGGAACTTCAAAATGTGGATTTGACTAAGGTACGCTGCAACAAATACTTAACATCCCATTGACATTTATTGGTATTTTGTATAATTGGTTGAGGGATGGTTTTATTGATTTAGATTTCCTCATTCTTTAATTTTTTTTAATTTAAAAATATTTATTTTATTTATTTTCCACGTATTTTTATTGAATTTTTGAGCATTTCATATAAAGCATCTTAATCATCTTTCACTGGCTAAGACCAAGAGAACACATGACACCAACCGCTGGCGAGGATGTGGGAAAGGGCAACGTTCATTCCCTGCTCCTGGAACTGAAAACTTCTGCAAACACTAGGGAGAGCAGTGTGGAGGACTCCTAAGAAACTGAAAATGAATCTGCCGTGTGATCCGGTTTCACCCCTCCTTGGCACATGCCAAAAGAACTCATTCTACCTTAGAGATACGTGCACCTCTATTTTTGTTGCTGCTCTTTTCACAATAGCTGAGAAATGGAAACCACCTAATAGATAATGAAAATGTGGTACATCTACACAGTGGAGCCTCCTCAGCAGTAAAGAAAGATGAAATCTTTTCTTTTTTTACTATCAAAGCTGATTTATCTCATCAGAAATTCAAGATGTTTTCATGTTAGGTTATTTTTTGTACAGTGAGGCAAACCTTGTTAAGAATTCAAATTCATTGGATGAAGATTTTGAATGGTCCATCCAAGGACAATGTGACTGCTATGAAATATATATGCTGGGAATTCTTTTTTCTCTTTTTCTTGAATTTTTGTGCATTTCATACAATTCATCTTAATCATATTTGGAGCCCCTCCTCTATCTGCACCCTCACGTCATCCTCCCAACTAGATTTCACGCATTCTGTCATGTCACGCCATCTCCAATGAAGCCCACGTGAGATCCTCCGTGGGTTGAGGCTGGAACTTCAAGGAAGGTTGCCTCTTGGAATTGGTTGTGCTAAAAAACATGCAGTGTATTTGGCATGCTTTTACTTGCTATTATCTTTCTGACTGTCACTGTATCATGGGCTTTCAGGGGCCCAGAAAGCACCTGGTGTCCTTGACACCGCTGTCACTGCCTTTACTGAAATCTTTTAATTATCCTAGTATGCAGGAAGAGTTCTCAGGAACTCAATCACCAAAGACAACTTTGCCTCCAGATGCATCACTATTAATGAAAGCCATTTTAGATGCAGCAAGAAGTAGCTAATCAAAATTAATGCTGGAAAGTCCAGGGAATAACGGATTTCTAGAAGAGAGACATAGATGAGTAAGTATAGATAGAAGAAGGGTTTCTTGGTATTCATTACAATTCATGGATAAATTGGCAAGATCAAGACCACCTTGGTGTCTTTTGATAAAAA